GGGTGCCACAGTAGCCGGAAAAGGTGCTCTCCCCGTGGGGACGTAGAGCCTAGGAAGGGACCCCACCAGCAGAGATCTCTAACTCTGTGTGCACAGGAGATGCTCTAAAATTACTTGTGGATGAAATGGAACTGGGTTGCAGTTGGGAAACAGCTGGAATGAGGTGAGCCTTAACCAGAGGCAATTACCTATTTGATTGGATTTCAAAGGTGTCATGAACTGACCCAAAACCATCCCCACCTCACCTATGGGCTGATGTAAAGCCTTCCTTTTCACTATTTTATATATATAAAGTATTTCTTAAGTTGCTGCCCCTAGAAGTACTGACTCCTCGTGTGGCCTCCGTCTGGCCAATGACAAGCATCTGTTTTTGTTTCAGGAGATGAGAGTGGAGGGTGTGGTCTGCAAGCAAGTGTTCAAGAAAGTGCACTGAAGCCGGGGCAGACCTCAGTCTCGGGGAGTGAGTGGCATGGGCATGCGGGCGGGGGTCCCCGCTCTGCACAGCATGGGGCAGAAACGTCCAGCCACCTCCAGGTATCGGTTAGCAGTCTGTCTCTTGGCCTTGTCCCTTTCCCTTTTCTTAGAACAAAACCATCCCAATAAAAGTGCTCTCTGCTCAAGACGTCTTTCTGGAGAAGCTTTGCAACCCCTCTGTGCTCTGTTTCTCTGGGGCTTTGGAAGTCGGTTCCTCTGGTGCCACCCCCGCCAGAGAGGGGGACTTCTGCCCTCAGCCTGAAGATTTAGTCGTGATGGTGCACCTGTGTGATCTTTCCTCAGGGCCCTGGCTGGGGGCTGACATCTGTGTGCCTCCCACACTCCGGGTCCACTCAGGGCCACAGTGCAGTGGGTGCCACAGTAGCCGGAGAAGGTGCGCTCCCCGTGGGGACGTAGAGCCTAGGAAGGGACCCCACCAGCAGAGATCTCTAACTCTGTGTGCACAGGAGATGCTCTAAAATTACTTGTGGATGAAATGGAACTGGGTTGCAGTTGGGAAACAGCTGGAATGAGGTGAGCCTTAACCAGAGGCAATTACCTATTTGATTGGATTTCAAAGGTGTCATGAACTGACCCAAAACCATCCCCACCTCACCTATGGGCTGATGTAAAGCCTTCCTTTTCACTATTTTATATATATAATTTTTATTGAATTTATTGGGGTGACATCGGTTAATAAAATTATATAGGTTCCAGATGTATAGTTCAATAGTACATCATCTGTATATGGTATTGTGTGTTCACCACCTAAAGGCAAGTCTCCTTCCATCACCATCTATCCCACCTTTACCCTCTACTACATCCCCCAACCCCTTCACTGTTGTAGAAGAGACATAACTCGCAAATTCCCCTGGAAGAGGGAAAGCAACTCCTGTTCACACTAACGTGCAACGATGGCTTGCTGTGACTTTGTATAAAGAAACAGGGAAACTGAAGTGTGGGTGAGGAGGTGGGAGACCATGGGTGGGGGAAACCCCGGGAAAGGGGAGGCTTACATGTAGGACCCCTCAATATCAAGTCTGTCCAGGCTGTGCACTGCCCCCTTGGAACCAGTACTGGGTTAGGAGTCAGATGAGCTGAGTTCGAATCCCAACACATCCACTTCCAGGGCAACACCACACCCCTCTGGACCTCACTTCTCCAGTCAGCAAACCGCCATAATGATCCACCTCCCGGCGGAGCACTAGACCAGTGTCCCTCAGACCTGGCTAAGCACTAGAAGCACCTGGGGAGCCTTCAGAAATCCCTAGTCCAGGCCACGCCCCAGAACAATTACATCAGAATGTGTCAAGGTGGGACCCGGGCATCTTTTGTTGTTGTTGTTCAGCTCCCAGGTAATTCTCATAGGCCACTGGAGTTGAGAATTGCTGCCCTAAACTAGCGTTTCTAAGCTGAGGCTGATCCAGCCTCCGTCCAGGGGCATTTGGCGATGTCTAGAGACATTTTATTTATAACTTAGATGGGGCCTCTACTGGCATTCCAGGCCTCTGCCCACTAGATGCCAGTAGTGCCCTCCACCCAAGCCGCTAAGCAGAGGCAGGGATACTCCCCAACATCCTGCAATGCCCAGACCGCCCCCCACAGCAAGGAATTACCCAGCCCATATGTCACCAGCGGTAAGGTTGAGAAACCCTGCTCTAGACAAACGGAAGAAATATTTAATGTTTTTCATTATTAAGGTCGTTTCTCTAGCGGAGACCAAG